TTGGAGCAATATTTATTTATTTAGGTACCACTAATTGAACTCAGAGGCACTGAATCACTGAGCCACATCCCCAACCCCTTTTATTTTTGGAGATGATCTTGCCAGGTTGCTTAGGGCTTCACTAAATTGCTAAGGTGGGCTTTGAACTTGGTGATCCTCCTGCATCAGCCTCCTGAGTTGATGGAATTACAGGTGTGTGCCACCACACCCTGTTGGAACAATATTTATTAAGGAGCTTAAATGAGAGACTTTAGGAGCTAGCTGCCATTCACATGGAACTAATAATGTTTATACTGTAAATGGGAATATACAAGGGTATTTCAGTCAAGCCTGATGTTGAGACTTCTGCAACTTCAGTAGTACAGTGTTACAGTTTGGTTTGGCTAATGGTTTTTTTGTGTTTCTAAAGTTGACAGTTTCAACCCCAAATAAAACAGATCGCATGTGTGTGTGTGTGTTGTGTGTGTGTATTTTAACATTTTCTTGCCTTTGATGTAGAGCCTAAAGGATTTTGATTGTATGAGAGTAGCAGTAATTGATACGGTGTTATTTAGGAATTTATATTGTGATGTAATTGGTATACTAATCGTGTTTTGTTACATGAACTAGGGAAGAAGAACAGATAGTGGTGAAGAATGTACTGAGAGTAAAGGGGAAAAAGGTACATATTAAGTAAATTACTGATTTTTTTTTTAATTTTTAAATTTTTTTACAGTTCTATGGATTGAATACAGGGCACTCCACCACTGAGTCACATCCTTGTCCCACCCCCCCCCCCCCTTTTTTAATAAGTGAAAAGTCATTTGATAATTTTTTTAATCAAAGTGTGTTCATTAATAAAGAATAAGGCATAGTATAAAATGATAAAATGGTCACTAAATCAAATATAATCTCGAGTTATCTAAAAATACCATGGCATCTTTGTTACATTTTTTTTTTTTTTAAAGACTGTTTCCGGGAAGTAGAGGACTATTCATCTCATAGCTTTTATTGAAACATGATTAGTGTACCAATTACATCATAATATAAATTCCTAAATAACACTGTATGAATTACTACTACTCTCATACAATCAAAATCCTTTAGGCTCTATATCGAAGGCAAGAAAATGACTTCTTGTGACTTGAGGTAACTACCACATAGTGACAGGAGATAGACTAGCAGTTTCCAGCTACAGAAAATATTGAGTTCTACCCAAATGTACAGATCATTTGAGATATAACCCATAATAGGTAAACCAGTTTCCCACTTATTTTGGATCAGACGGGTTTGTCATTTTGAAAAATAGGCCAACAGAAAATCCTATAGCACACAGCAATCTCTACATCTTGGCTGGACATGAAAATAGTTACTAAGCACCTGGCCCTTTTTATTTGTTCTAATTAGTTACACATGACAGTAGAATGCACTTTGATACCTTGTACATAAATGGAGTATAATTTCTTATTCTTGTGGTTGTACATGATATAGAGTCACACATATACCCATAGGGTAGTCATATAAACACATAGGGTAATAACATTGTCCAATTCATTCTACTCTCCTTCCTACCCTCATATTCCCTCCCTTTCCCCCCTCCTCTCCGCCTAATCCAGAGTAACTCTATTCTTCCTTAGCCTCCACCCCCTTATTGTGAATTAGCATCTGCATATTAGAGAAAACATTTGTTTTTTTAGGATTGGCTTATTTTGCTTAGAACAGCTTCACCCCACTTACCCCCACTTACCCACATATGCCACCATTTTATTCTTTAAGGCTGAGTAATATTCTATTGTGTATGTATACACATTTTCTTTATCCATTCATCTGTTGAAGGATACTTAAGTTGGTTCCATAGTTCAGCTGTTGTGAGTTTAGCTGCTATAAACACTGATGTGGCTGCATCACTTAATATGCTGAGTTTTAAGTCCTTGGGTATATACTAAGGAGTGGCATAGCTGGATCAAATGGTGGTTCCATTCCAAGTTTTCTAAGGAATCCAGGTCTCACTTATTTGCAGAGGGTGGCCTCCAACTTGCAATCCTCCTGCATCTCACTCATCCTTCCTAGTCACTGGGATTATAGGTATGTACCACCATGACCAGCTTCTGATTTCTTTTATCCTGTGAAGAAGGTGCCTTTTGAATTACTTTTTATATTGTGGATATAGTATGTATTTTGAATAAGACAGGAAGGCAAAACTTGATGTTCAGCCTTTTTATATAAATATAACAGTGCAATTTGTTGGAATGAAAATATTTTACCTTTTCTGAGATAGAGAGATCTGCTTCATTTCTGAAACTAGTTGTGAGGTCTGAGAGTATAACATAATCACAGTGTTTTTTTTCCTGTTCATCTGTTTGGGTTAGATGCTAATCCTGAATGAGAGTAGCTAATTTCCCCTCCCCTTTTGTTGTGCTGGGATTGAACCCAGGTCCTTGAAATTATCTTAATTTTAGGAATTTTTTTCCCTCTGAATTGTTTGTGGTGCTGTAATCCAACCCAGGGTGTCAGGCATATTAAGCAAGTGTTCTACCTTTGAGCTATACCACTAACCCCTCTGAACCCCTTTTAAGAAAGGAAACCTTATTTTATATATAAATAGGTGAAATTGCTTTCGTGTAAGTGTGGCAAGGGGAAATCTAAATCTTGGAAACCACAGGCTATAGATAGATAACTAAGAATCTCTAATGTCCAGATATCTTTAAATTCTGGGATCTATAAGAAAACCTGAAATTATTTTATTTTTCAAATTTTTATTTTATTTTTTGATACTGGGGATTGAATCCAGAGGTACATGGATACATCCCCAGACCCCTTTTTTCAATTTTTAAATTTTGAGACAGAGTCTCACTAAGTTGCTCCGGGCCTTGACAAGTTGTTGAAGTTGGCTTTCTGCTTCTCAGCCTCCCACGCTACTGGGATATGTGTGTGCCACTAAGCCCCGCTGGAATTATTTTAGATCAAGAGACAGGTGAAGGATATGGCTCTCGTTCTGCTTCAGGTTGATAGTTTATTAGTTTAATACTTCAGTTCCAGAGTTTTGTTTCTGGTATCTTGATAACCATGCCTGAAGGCAATATATTTTCCTATTATGAAAGCTGATCCATGTTGAGGGACTGTAATTTGGGGAAAATGAAGAACAGTCTTAGGACTGATATAGATTTTGGTGAAGCAAGTAGTAAGTGGGGACAGCTCTTCAAGAATGATGCAAGAGCCATGTTCAGTGCTTGCTCCTTTCATCCTAGCTGCTTACGAGGTTGAGGTGGGAGGATTATTTGTCAAGGAGTTTGAGCTTGCACCAAGAGTTTGAGGCTAGCCTGAAAAACATAGCAAGATTATCTATTAAATAAACAAACAAACTAGATTTTAGGGCAAACAAATCGTTTATTCAGAAATTTATCAATCCATTTTGCTGTGCATGGTAGTATGCACCTTGTAATCCAGCAACTTGGGAGCTGAGGCAGGAAGGTCACAAGTTTTATGCTGCCTCTGCAACTTAAGACCTAGTCTAAAAAAATTGAAGAAAAGGGGCTGGGATGTAGATCAATGGTAGAGCACTTGACCTAGCATGTGCGCGTACATGGGTTCAGTCCCTTGTTCTGGGAAGGGGAAAAATCCATTTTGCCCATCTTTTTAAAATATAAAATAAAGTTCTTCTCCTTTTGCATATCATAATCAGGTTAATGTGTGTATATTTGTGTAAGTTGAGAATGGTTTTCTTTCCAGTTTTAAATAAAAAGTCAGAATATCAGATTTTTTCTGAAAGTCATTTTTGGTAATACTTGGCAATAATTGAGAACTTGATAAGTATCTAAATATTCATAGGTATTACCTGCAAACCTTCTTGATTATTTTGAGTAGTAGGAATTATTTTGCTGAGTAAAAACGTCTTGTTAACTTTATCCCATTTGATTTTTATAGTCTTTTTGTTTCCATTATTAGATGAGCTAATAAGTACATTTAGAAATCTTGATTTTAAAGTTTCTATTTTTTTTTTTTTTTAAAGAAAGAGTGGGAGAGAGAGAGAGAATTTTTTTAATATTTATTTTTTAGTTCTCGGCGGACACAACATCTTTGTATGTGGTGCTGAGGATTGAACCTGGGCCGCACGCATGCCAGGCGAGCGCGCTACCGCTTGAGCCACATCCCCAGCCCGAAAGTTTCTATTTTTTAATTGGTTTTATTTTTTAAATACATGACAGCAAAATGCATCATTATTACACATATATAGTTTCTATTTTTAAATAATATTAAAGGTTATCTGATTTAGATGGAGTTGAAGGTGTGATAGGTTGTACCTGGATGTTAAAGCCATGTTAAGGTTATTGTCCTTGAATCTTCTATTGCCACAATAAGAATGTGTTTATGATTTTGCAATTAGAATGCTGGTTTTTTCCCCTTCACTTTTTCTTTCATTTTATTTGTTTTAGTTGTAGATGGACACAATGCTTTTATTTATTTATTTTTTTTGTGGTGCTGAGGATCAAACCTAGGGCCTCACATGTGCTGGACAAGTGCTCTACCATTGAGCTATAGCCCCAGCCCCTTCCTCACATTATTTTATTGGTGCATTATAGATGCACATAATGACAGGATTAATTTCTACATATATGTACATGCATATAATACAGCATAGTTTTTTGTGTACTTACTAACTCAAGAAAATTATGGTAGGGTGTATATTGAGGTTATTTTATCCAGTTAAGGAAATTGAATTTTGGGAACAATGGTGAATTCTTTTTTATTTTTAAAAAGTTTTTTAATATTTATGTTTTAATTATGGTTGGACACAATGTCTTTATTTTCATGTGGTGCTGAAGATCGAACCCAGTGCCTCCCTCATGCTAGGCAAGTGCTTTACCTTAGAGCCACAACCCCAGCCCCAGTGGTGAATTCTTCATAGTGACTTTTCCTTCACATATGTTCATCTGATTTTAGTAAATTTGAATGTGTAAAATGTCACCTGGTATGTGTGGGTTTTGTTTTTTTAATGTTTATCCCCATCCCTACCCCCCCAGGTTGAATTGACCAAAGCAATGGTTATGGAGAAGCCTAGTCCCCTGCTGGTCGGGCGGGAGTTTGTGAGACAGTATTACACACTGCTGAACCAGGCCCCAGACATGCTACATAGGTAAGAAGTTATTAATCTAATTCTTTCTTTATAGTGTGTGGTGCTTATATGTGAGATTTTTCCATTCAGCAGCATATTTCTTATGAGGTTGTTGTGTAACAGTTCTTTTACATAAGTACCTGTAAGTACTGGATGTTAAAATTATAAAATTTAAAAGAATTTCTAAGTAGTATTTAAAAAGAACTATTAACTAAATTTTACAAATGTTATAATCTCACTTATTAAGACTATATTTAAGAAGATCTAGGTTCAGTGGTAGAGCGCTTGCCTTAGCATATAAGAGGCCATCAGTTTGATTCCTAGCATTGCAAAAACCAGAAAAACAAAAACAAATTGTGAAAATATTTGGTAATAGCATACTAAAATCTTTTTTTTGTATATGCAAACATGTTTTAATAAACTCTGTTAACAAATTCTTGTAGCTTATTTTGCTTGGTAATCTAAGGTCATCTTTAATGGTAGTACATGTAATTCACTTAATTTTAGTGATGACAGATTATTTTATAGAGATGTAGTATGTTTTAATTTCCTAATGATGTAGGGTGCTTCCAGTATATCCTTTTATAAACAGTGTTACATTATACAAAACTATTGATGTGGACTTGTTAGAATAATTTCATATAATTTCCAAAATGTATATTTGTTTGGCCAGAACTGTTTTTTCCTTTGTACGGTGGCCAACTTACATATTCAATATTACATGGTTATGAGGAAAATTTACAGATTGGTTTTTTGTTTTGGTAGTGGAGATTGAACTCAGGAGTACCTAACCACTGAGCCACATCCCCAGCCCTTTTTATTTTTTGAGATAGGGTCTTGTTAAGTTGCTTAGAACCTCAGTAAGTTGCTGAGGTTGGCTTTGAACTCTTGATCTCTGTCTCAAGCCTCCCAGGCCTCTGAGATTACAGGTGTGTGCCAATGTGCCTGGTTTATAAATTCATTCTTTTTTTTTTTTGATGGTGGTGTTGGGGATTGAACCAGGGCCTTGTGCATGTGAGGCAAGCACTCTACCAACTGGGCTATATCCCCAGCCCCTATAAATTCATCCTTTTTAAAAATTTCTTTTAGTTGTAGATGGACACAATACCTTTGTTTTGTTTATTTTTTTATGGTGCTAAGGATCAAACCCAGTTCCTCACATGTGCAAGGCAAGATCTCTACCTCTGAGCCACAACCCCTGCCCTATAAATTCATTCTTTTTTTTTTTTAATATTTATTTTTTTTTTTAGTTTTCGGCAGACACAACATCTTTATTTGTATGTGGTGCTGAGGATCGAACCCAGGCCGCACGCATGTCAGGCGAGCGCGTTACCGCTTGAGCCACATCCCCAGCCCTAAATTCAGTCTTAATACCTGGCTTGGCTTTACACTGAAAATGGAAACAAATTTTTTTTTAAGGTTTTATCATTTCCAAGCACTTTATACTTTACCTACAAAAACTTTTCAGTAAGGCATTAAGGTATTAACTTCACTTTGTGGATGTAGAAGCTCAGAGAAGTTAAAAATTTGCTAGTATTATTCTCATGTCTATTAAGTGGTAGAACAAGTCCCCAAATCGGTTTTTATTCTTCCTGTTCATTGTTTTATGAAAGTTTTATTATTTTCTGTCCTTAGAAGTTAGTTAAACTTGGAGTTTAAAAAGAAGCAAGAATTTAAAGAAACTAATCAAATGCATTAATGTATTTTCTTGTCAATATTGTCATTCTAAGGCTGTTTTTTTCCTTCCCACTTTTTTTTTTTTAAATTTCTGAAGTACGTAGGCACATCTTAGAATGAAAAGTGGCTTAGCCAGTAGTGAATGGATTCTGACACATGTACATCTTCTTAGTAGTTTTAAAAGGAAGACTTATTCTAGTGATTCCAGACCTATTCCTTTTTTGGGGGTTGGGGAGTGGAGTCAGGATATAAAAATAATATGTATGGGCTTATTTATTCAAAAAATATACTTATCTGGAAGACAGATAACAAAAAATATTTAATAGTGATTTTTGCCTAGTTTGGGGACATTTGTGTGTGTGTGTATGGTAGAATATTGTTGTAGTGAAAATGGTATTTGAAGATACAGATGAACGAAAACTACAGGAAATTAAAAGTTCTTACTGCATCAGCAGAAATTGTTAAAAACTTCTAAAACTGCCTGTGTGAGTTTGCAAGTAATTAATAGGAACTGCTCATATGCATTCTGAAATCTAAAAGGACTCATCAAGCCTACGGAGAATGTGGCTGTCCCCAGCCCAACTGCTGTTTTCTTCCTCCTAGTGAAAACAGAATCTTAAGTTTAAGTGACTGATCTTTCTGACATGAACTGTAAGATCTTTTCCAACATGATAATCCTGAAATGCGGAAGTTACCACTTGGAAAATAAGTGTTCTGCCTCACTTAACCAAATCCATTCCTATTCAGAAAATGTTAACTGAATGGCATGGAGGGGATGGATAGATGATTGCATATAGATAAAGAAAGAAAACACATTCCTGCCTTCAATAATCAGCCAGTGAAGTAGATTTATAATGTGAAAAATAAATACTTACTGTTAGGGTACTTAAAGATAGAAAATAAATTATCTTCCTGTGATACAGATTTTATGGAAAGAACTCTTCCTATGTTCATGGGGGATTGGATTCAAATGGAAAGCCAGCAGATGCAGTCTATGGACAGAAAGTAAGTACAAGTTTTATTTGGGTCTGGAAGTATCTAGAAACCAACCTATAATAAAGTTGAGGTAGATACATGCTTAGTACATTTGATAATACTGAAAGATTGAATTTTTCAACATTGTAATAGAAGTTTAGGTAGTTACTATTTTATAAATATGATAGTTGTTGAATGGCCTGTGATTTTCATTTGTTCACATTGGATGATATATTCTGAATGCTTTGTATGTTAGAATATAGTTGCTTTTAGCCTGGGATCATGTTTTCTAAGCTTTTAAAAGTGTTAATCCAGGACATTTATTTTAAAGGATTCAAGTCAACTCACTGGGAATAGAGTAATAAAAAAAAAAAAAAACTCTTGTTGTAACTTAAACATGTATATACTCTTTTATCTATGTTGTGTTAGGAAATTTGGGGATATTTTGAAGGTGTAAAATTGAAGGCATTAACTACTGGCCTTGATTCCTTAGGAAATTCACAGGAAGGTGATGTCACAAAACTTCACCAACTGCCACACTAAGATTCGCCATGTTGATGCTCATGCTACTCTAAATGATGGTGTGGTGGTCCAGGTGATGGGTCTTTTATCAAACAACAACCAGGCTTTGCGGAGATTCATGCAAACATTTGTCCTTGCCCCGGAGGTATGTTTAGTAGTGAAATAATGTGGGGAAAAAATGAAAGGTTTTGCATATCTTTAAATTGTTTTTGAACTTTCAAACATTGAGTTGTCAGAATAGTGCAGCAATGCTTATGTAAACCTTACCTATAGCTATAGAGTTACTGTCAATACTTGCCCACTTATGGTGGGTTGTGTTTTTTTTTTTTTTTTTTTTTTTGTAATGCTGGAAATTGAACACAGGGCTTTGCCCATGCTAGTCAAGCACTCTATTATTGCACTACATCTCCAGCCTATAATTTTTTTTTTTAGGTATCCCTAAAAAGGTTTCCTCTTCTAAATCATTTGAAAAGAAGTTTAAGACATTTCTAGTCATGCTCAGATGCTTATGTGGGCATTTATTTTCTTTTTTCTTTCTTTTTGTTTTAAATACTTGCATGTTGATTTTGTTCTTCCTTTTGTGGTGCTGGGGGAAGAACCCAGGTCTTTGCTTGTGTTAGGCAAGGGATTTACCACACAACCTTCCCAGCTTAAGTGGGCAATTTCTAAGAATAAGGAATTCTGTCCTGTAATCATAGTGCAGTAATTAAATTCAGGAAATATTGATGTAATGTTACTATCATTCTGTAGTCCATATTTGAATTTCAGAAAACACACCAATATTGAACTTCATGGTGATTTTTTTTTTTTTTCCAGGTCCAAGATTCAATACACAGATATACATTGCTTTTAGCTATAATGTGTCTCTAGTCTCTTAATGTGTAGTAGTTTCTTTTTTTTTTTTTTTAATATTTATTTTTTAGTTTTTGGTGGACACAGCATCTTTATTTTATTTGTATGTGGTGCTGAGGATCGAACCCAGCGCCCCACGCATGCCAGGCAAGCACGCTACCGCTTGAGCCACATCCCCAGCCCCTGTAGTAGTTTCTTAATCTTTTATTTTTCATGGCAGTGATGTTTTTCGAGAACGGTCATGTTATTTTGTAAACACTTCTTACTTAAGTATCTTTTAGTACCTCAAAGAGGCATATGATGTCATTTAGTTTTTTTTTTTGTTTGTTTTAAGATGGGCAGGGGAGGAGGAGTCTTTCAATTTTTTATATATTTTAGTTGCTGGACCTTTATTTTATTAGTTTGTATGCGGTGCTGAGAATTGAACCTAGTGCTTCACACATGCCAGGCAGGTGCTCTACCACTGAGCCACAACCCCAGCCCTGTTATTTACTTTTATTAATGATGTTAACCTTATGTAAGGTGATGTTCACTAGGTTTTGCTACTGTGTTGTTAAGTATTTTTCCTTTTCTGATTTATGCATTGTGCAGATTGTTTTGAGATTTGTATCCTGTTACTTATCAACTTGTATGCTAACTTTAGCAATCATTGATTTTTGGTTGAAATCAGTTGCTATTTTGATGGTGACAAATTGAGTTTATCTAATCCCCTATTAGTTGGCATCCTGCTATAAAGGACTTTCTCTTTCTTATCTGTTAATCATTTGTAGATTTTTAGTTTATTTAATGAGTTGTAATCTGTTACTGTCTTGTGTAAAATGTTCCAGATCCAAGCAGAGGGAACCCCTTCAAGCTTCTTTTGTGTCTTTTTTGTTTGTTTATTTTTTGAGGGGGGTCCACTTTGTAACATTGTGGAGCAAAATGTTCTGGGCTCAGCTTGCACAGACCCTGCTTTAGCACAATTCTAGAATCAGCTGTTTCTTCAAGGAACCCTAGTTCTTTGTAGTTAGGCTTATCATGAAAGTCTTCCAGATTGATCACAGTCAAGAATCCTGTCTGCTTAAATATGTAGAAGTGGCTCATTAAAAACTTGATGAAAAAATGACCATTATTTTTTAGTATTAAAATCTTTAAAATAATTTTTAATATTTAGAATAATAAATGCAATACTATATTTTTACTGAGAAGAGAATATTTTTGTCTATTTGAAAAAGTTACATGAAATCATTTTAGTCATCTTTTAAATGGAGGGTTATATTGAAGGGTAAAGATTTGAAGGACTTCTATTCTAGCCAGGTATAGTGAGTGATATACACCTGTAATCCCAGCTGTTCAGAAGGCTGAAGCCAAAGTATCATAAGTTCAAAGCCAGCCTCAGCAACTTAGCGAGGCCCTAAGCAACTCATAAGACACCATCTCTAAATGAGATATAAAAAGGAGCCTAGGATATGGCTCACTGGTTAAGTGCCCCTGTTTTTAATCTCCAGTACCCCCCCCCCCCAAAAAAAAAAAATATTTGAAGGACTTTTAAATGTGTGAAGAATTGCATTGGGGTGTATAGCTTTTTTTTTTTTCCCCCTTTAAAGGGAAAAGTTTATTTTAAATTTTTTATTCATTTTTATACATCAGACTCTAAAGGGATGACTCTTCTATGTTAACATAATGCATTGTTTTATAAACTTTGAGAACACATGCACTGAGGTATATATGTTGATCTTTTTTTATGGATGAGGGAACAGCTTTGAAATTGAGTAACTACTAAATAACATAACTGGATTTGGACTTGGATATGTCTTAGACATAATGTGAGCAATTTTTTTCCCCTTAGCTAAACCATCCTGGAATGTTAGAATGAATATTTTTGGATGCAGATATAGGGACTTTTAAATATCTAATTGCCTAATGATTTGAGGTGGTAGCTTTTGCATCTTACATACTTTAGAGTTTTTAATCTTTTTTTTTTGGTATTCATCTGGTGATGAGGATAAATGTTTTGAACAAATAAAATGTATTAGAATATAGTTTTTAAAATAACTGTAGTATAAAGCATGACTTTTTAATCTTGGTACTTTTGGTGTTTTGGGTTAACTAATTCTTTGTTTTGGGGGCTATCTTGTTCATCCCTGCACTCTGCTTAATAGTTGTAAAGTGATTGTACCAGTCATGAAAACTAAAATGTCTCCAGACATTGCCAAGTATCTCCTGCTAGTTTAGAACACTGGTGTAGTTATTTGGCTCTTTGAAAGTCTGTTGTATAAATTAAAACTTTTTGTTGGCATTGCAGGGCTCTGTTGCAAATAAATTCTATGTTCATAATGATATCTTCAGATACCAAGATGAGGTCTTTGGTGGCTTTGTCACTGAGCCTCAGGAGGGTAAGTAGTGAAGCACTGTACGTTACTTATCTAAACATTTTAAACAACATCTGATGGACCTTTAGGGAATAATGGGTTTATTGAATAGTTTTGTTGGTTCTTTATTGTGATTAAGTAGTATTTGTTAAGACAAGAAGAATCTCAGCTTTTACCCTTGTTGGATGCTAATTGATTAGCTTTTTTCATGGAGGTTGGGAGTCGACCTGACTCTAAGGTCAGAAGTAGATTATCATTCTCAGCAGCCAATAGTAGCATTTTTGCTTTAGTTCCCATAGGACCCCATGAAGAAGGTCTCATGATATATGCATTGCAGTGGGTTGTTAAAGGTGTGAAACCCTTATTTCAGGGAAACCAAATCTTTTCTAGGCAGTAACATGCCTCTCCTTTGCTCTTGAGGAATACTTTTTTCTAAGGCTGTTTGCTATACAAATATTCTTGAAAATTAGCCTGAAAGAAAGGATAGCTGTGGATTATGTGCAAAAGCAGACCAATGGATAGTGTTTGAATTTTATTACATGGCTCAGACTGTTCTAAGTGCTTTATATTTATTATGTAATATACACCTTATAGACAGTACTTTAGGTACTGTTTCTCCAATAAGTACATTAGGGTATTGAGATATACTAGTTTACCTAAGGTAGTGGTAGCTAGTAAGGTACATTAGATTATTGAAATATGACCTCATATTCTGTGTTAACCAAGACACTAATCTGTCCTTCAAATCTGTGTCATGATTTTATCAAATTGCCCTATGTATGTTTCCCTTTATGACCTCATTTTCTCTTTCTTTTATTTTTTTTTAAATAGTAGACATTGTTTTCCCATTCTCATCTTTATTGGTAAAATCAGTTTAAAAGATATGAATCTCCTGTAGTAGACATTATAATGAACTGAAAATTAGGTAAGCACAAATTATGTTTTAAATTTCTTTTCCTCAGAATCTGAGGAAGAAGTAGAGGAGCCTGAAGAAAGACAGCAAACACCTGAGGTGGTACCTGATGATTCTGGAACTTTCTATGATCAGACTGTCAGGTAAGGAAATTTTTGTTTACATGTCCAGGGCTACATAAGAAATTGCATTATCTGTCTCTTTGTTAGAGAGCAATCATACCTTCTCAGATTTGATATCAAATTATAATTTTCTAGAAGAATGATTTGGCTTTGGTATCTCTGACAAAATGAAAAAAAATGAATAGTAGAGTGTTCTATGAGGACTGTTTGAATAGTACCTATCAGTTACTTTTTGGTTTAGTTTTTTCTTGGTGATAAGTACAAATTTTTGAATATTTCTTATCAATAGTTCACTAAATCAAGGTATTTCATTAAATGCTTTTGGGGAAATATAAAGTGTTAAGTACTGAGTAACCAGGTATAAATTAAAATATGTGAACTAAGTAGAAATAAAGAATTTTACCACCTCAGATGCCAAATATGTCATTATATTTTAGGGTTTTTTATTTTTGTGCTTGGGACAGAAATGTGTTTGATAGGGATTGAAATGATGTTGCCATGAGACATCCTAAATGTTATATTCAGTGCTTAATATTAATTAATGTCAAAAAATTATAATAAATATTTTCAGTTGTTTATCAAAATGTGATGATGGTCTAACAATATTACTCACTTGGATTGCTGGTTAAAAATGAAGATTTGTGGTCATGCCACAAATCTGCTGAATTAGAATTTCAGGAGGAAAAACACCTGCAGTTTTTAAAAAAATATGTATTTATTTATTTATTGTAGTTGTAGATGGAGAGAATGCCTTTATTTTATTTGTTTATTTTTATGTGGCGTTAAGGATCCAACCCAGTGCCTCACAGATGCTAAGCAAGTGCTCTGCCACTGAGCTACAGCCTCAGCATACACTTGCAGTTTTAACAGCATTACTAGTGATTTATGTGGAAATTTAATAACTGTTCTGAATTACAACTATCTTTATTTCTCCTAAAATTTCTTATGTGTTTTTATGAGAGTTTAAGTATGAGGTGTTAAGTATGAGGTACAGTTGTCTTAACAAGGTGCACATAGATGTATGAAAGATCTCTAGAACTTTTCATTCAATGTGCAAAACAAACTATAGATTTTAAGAACAGCAACTTCCTCTTTCCCTCTTCCCCCAGCCCATTAGGTATGAGAGATTTTGTGATGTGTGATAAGTAAATGGCAATACTTTTAGAATTTCTATAGGATGAGAAAATTTTTCATTTGTTTTGAATGAATTTGAGCAAATATTTTGGCTTGAATTTGAGCAAATAACTTTTTAAACTTGCTTCTTTTTAAATATTTATTAATTATTAATAATTATAATTATTAATATTTATAATCTATTTTTATGTGGTGCTGAGGATCGAACCCGAGCTAGGCGAGTGAGCCACAACCACTGAGCCACAACCCCAGCCCCCTAAACTTGCTTCTTTTATCTTTTTTGAAAAGAGGGATACATTTTTATTTTTTTTGTGCTGGAGATACAACCCAGGCCTTGCTCATCCTATGCGTGTGCTTCACCATCAAGCTCTAGCCTCCTCCCTGAGAGAAGTTTTTTCCATGGTTAATATATTATTAAGAATTTCTGCCAGATGCTGTGCCACATGTCTAATTCCAGTGGCCTGGGAGGCTGAGGCAGGAGGATTGTAAGTTCAAAGGCAGCCTCAGCAAATTAGTGAGACAATAAGCAACTCATTGAGACCCTGTCTCTAAATAAAATGTAAAAAAGGCTGAGGATGTGGCTCAGTGTTTAAGCTCCTCTGGTTCAATCCCTGGTATCCCCCCCCCCAAAAAAAAAAAAAAAAAGAATTTCTAAGTCGGTGGAGGCAGAATTATATTTCTCAAATTTTCCTGTGAAAGCAATGACTTGGAAGAACATTTAGAGGAGCCTGTTGCTGAACCAGAGCCTGATCCTGAACCAGAACCAGAGCAAGAACCCGCATCTGAAATCCAAGAGGAAAAGTCTGAGCCGGTATTAGAAGAACCTGCTCCTGAGGATGCTCAGAAGAGTTCTTCTCCAGCACCTACAGATATAGCTCAAACAGTACAGGAAGACTTGAGGGTAAGGAACATGTCTTCATCTTTATTCTATTTTTACTTTTTAAAAAACTCTTTTCTCCTTTTTTAGTTGCTTTGTTAACCTTGTTGATGCATTTCCTATTGGTTTAGGGAAATTTCTTACATACTAGGCCATGTCTCAGATAAGAGACATGATGCCTGTCACTTTGTAACATCAAAAGAAATGGCCTGTGGTTCCCACCCCCTCAAAGGTAGCTTGAATGCCTCTTAGATATTCAAATGGTAAGTTCCATTTTTGTCAGTCATTATCAACAATCTCTAGTCTTTTGATACTTCATCTTTTTTTTTTAGTGGTGGAATTGGGGATTGAACCCATGGACGCTTTTACCCATGGAGGTGCATTCCTAGCTGTTTTTGTTTATTCATTTATTTATTTATTTTGAGACAGGATCCCATTAAGTTGTTGAGACTGGCCTCAAACTTAGTGATCCTTCTTAAATTGTAAATCATTATTTTAGTATTATAGCACAATATAAATGCAAACATCAGTTTAATGAAAATAACAGTGAAATCTAGTTGAGGATTATCCATGTACATATATGATGTGTGTGTGTGAGTGTGTGTATATATCTTCAGATTGACTAAAAGTAGTTTCTTTATCCCTAATCTTTTCATCTTTGACTTTAACTTGATCATTAGTTCAAGGAGTTTTAGTTCTAAATTTGTGAGTAGATGAAGGAAAGAAATTGCAAGATGTTTATAATCTCCATTCTATCTATGAGAATATGATACATACATTATGCACAGGAAATCAAAAGTTGATAGCTTTTATGTTGTTTTGATAAGTAATGTAATCATGTAACATTGGTCCCTTAGACATTTTCTTGGGCATCTGTGACCAGTAAGAACCTTCCTCCCAGTGGAGCTGTTCCTGTTACTGGAATACCACCTCACGTAGTTAAAGTACCAGCTTCACAGGTAAGGCTCTGACTGGAGGCAAATTAATACGACTCAACAGAGGTTTAGAGAACAGGAACTGGCATATAGTTGTTTTTTAATGATTTTTTTTTTTTTTTTTGAGGGAACTGTCATATTTTACTTTGAACCTTATTGTTAGTTTAAAAAGTTCACAGGAAAAAATATGAGCCTGCTTTGTTTTTAGACAAAACTTAACTTGTAAATATTTTAGCCCCGTCCAGAGTCTAAGCCTGAATCTCAGATTCCACCACAGAGGCCTCAGAGGGATCAACGAGTACGAGAGCAACGAATAAATATTCCTCCTCAGAGGGGACCCAGACCAAGTAAGAGCTGAATTGGGTAATTTCTCTAGTTTGTGTGATTTTGAGATGACAACTTGGGAGACATTGATATTTTAGTATTTTTTACTGTGGAGTAATAGAAGTGTTGCTTATGAATAGTCCCTGAAAGGTCTTTCTCTAGTCTTTCCTTGTTGTTTTTGTCTCTTAAGTCCGTGAGGCTGGTGAGCAAGGTGATATTGAGCCCCGAAGAATTGTGAGACATCCTGATAGTCACCAACTCTTCATTGGCAACCTGCCTCATGAAGTGGACAAATCAGAACTTAAAGATTTCTTTCAAAGTAAGTTATTTAGTTTTAACCACTACTTAATCTAGTGTAGCACCGTCCAGTAGAAATAGTGGAGCTGCATACATAATTTTAAGTTTTCTAGTAGTCATGTTAAAGTAAAAAGAAATCATTTCAAAATATAAATATATGAGGAGATGGGCATAGTGGCACGTGCTTGTAATCCCAGTAGCTTGGAAGGCTGAGGCATAAGGATCTCTAGTTCAAAGCCAGCCTCAGCATCTTAGTGAAGAAGCAACTTGGTGACACCCTGTCTCCATGTGACTCAGGGGTAAAGCACCCCTGGGTTCAATCTCCTGTACCTGTTCCTGCAAAAACAAAAAATCAGGTACAGATTAAGCTTCCTTAAATCTGAAAATCCAAAATGCTCTTAAGCTTGGCATGGTGGTATACACCTAAAATCCTAGTGACTTGTGAGGCTAAGGTAACAGAATCCTAAATTGAAGGCCAGTGTTAGCATCTTAGCAAAACCCTGTCTGAAAATAAAAAAGGGCTGGGGTGTGACTAAGTGGTAGAGCACCCTGGATTGAGTCCCCAGTACTACCAAAAGTTTTTGTTTGTTTGTTTTAAATATCTTTATTTATTTATTATTTTTATGTGGTGTGGAGGATCGAACCCAGTGCCCCACATGTGTGAGGCAAGTACTCTACCACTGAGCCACAGCCCCAGGCCCCAGAAAGTTTTTTAAAAAGGCATCTGGAATCCTCTAAAACCTGACTCTTGCGTGTCAACATTATGCCACAGATGAAAATTTCCACGCCTGGGGCTGGGGATACAGCTCAGTTGGTAGAGTGCTTGTCTTGCATGCACAGGCCCTGGGTTCAATCCCCAGCACCACCAAAAAAAAAAAAAAGAAAAAGAAAAAAAAATCCACACTTGACCTCATGTGTTAAGATTTGGATTCCATCCCTCAAATATCTTTTATACATTTATAAATGTTTCATAATAAACGAAAATCTGAAATCTTTTGTTCTTAGGCATTTCAGATAAGGGATACTCAGCCTGTGTTTTGCTTTCCTTTTTTATTTTTTTAAAATACTAATTCTGAAATCCAGTGTGTATTTTACACTCAAGGTACATGTCCATTTGGACTAGATATATTTGAGGTGCTCAGTGTCTAGTGATACTGAACAGTGTACATCTAACATTTAAGAGGGAACTTTCTGCTAATACATTATTTGAAAATCTGTTTCACTTGCAGATTATGGGAATGTGGTGGAGCTGCGCATAAACAGTGGTGGAAAATTACCCAATTTTGGTTTTGTTGTATTCGATGATTCTGAGCCTGTTCAGAAAGTTCTTAGTAACAGAGTAAGCAGTTTTTTATCTTGATTTCTTCCTTTTTTTATGTTTGAAGTATAGGTATGTTTTGGTTCTTTAAAGTGTATTCATCCTTAAGCTGTGTCTTTATATGTAAAATGTAATTTATTCCATCATGTTTAACCCATTAAGACCTGTCTGGGAATTGTACTTGGAGATTACTCCTTCTTTGGGGTTAACCATAGATGTATCTTGCCTTTTCTTCATTTTATTGCATAGGTAGAAGTCTGCTGCTGTGCTCTCTTCAATAATGTTTTGTGAGTACAGAAATAGTTTATGCAACATTGATCACTATGTTATGTTGTAATATAGCACAGTGGTTTAAAGCTTATATTTCCCAGACAGGAGGCCGTGGATTACGTTCCTTTTCTCCCATTCACTAGTGCAGTGACCCATAGACTTACTCTTGTCACTTGTAAGGGACAAGTGTCTTAACTTCCCTGGCCTTTAATTTGCTAGTGTTTAGAATTTTATTTGCCTCAGTATAATGACATTTTTTTGAGATGAGAATGTACTTAGAATAAATATGTATAGTACCATCTCTGCATATTCTATGATGAAGTTTTAGCCTAAGCCTCTAAATCCATGGAGAAGGTGGCAATTCATTTGTATTATCCTGTTTAGGATTTGTTAAGTAAATATAATGACAATTACTTATGTTGTTTAATTTGGCTTTTTTTAACTAGCCTGCCTACCTTACCACATTTCCATGCTTTTGTTAACAGGAAAATATGTTGTCTGAGCTTAAAACAAAAATTGATTGCAAGAACTTGACTGATTTGTAAGCTTCTGGTTCTTTATGGTAGCGTCATTTTACTTTTGGTAGGTGTAGTTCATAAGCGCTGAGTCTGGTTACCTTGATTTCTTCCAGCCAATCATGTTCAGAGGTGAAGTCCGACTGAATGTGGAAGAGAAGAAGACTCGAGCTGCTCGGGAAGGGGACCGTCGAGATAACCGCCTGCGGGGACCTGGAGGCCCTCGAGGTGGGCTGGGCGGTGGAATGAGAGGCCCTCCCCGTGGAGGCATGGTGCAGAAACCAGGATTTGGAGTGGGAAGGGGGATTGCTCCACGGCAGTGAATTGCTCTTCACTGGTCTTCATGAAGCATAAAAACCCCAGCTTCTGCAGAATGGTGAATTTCTTCAACCAGCCTTTGTTATCTTGGAGTATGATGATCCTAGTCTTATAAACTGCTTAAGTTTGTACAATTTTACTTCTTTTTGTGTTAATGGTGTGTGCTCCTTCCCTTTTCCCTTCTCCTGGCCTTTTAGTCCTTCACTTCCAGTTTTGTGGAACGCTATTTTAGGAGTAACGAATTTTTAAAGAAGAAAAAACGAAAAGACTGAATTTCCTTGCTTACTTTGCATATACAGACTGGAATTTTTTTTTTTTTTAAACAGCCATTTCCCCAAAGGAATGTGTCTTGCTTATTACTGACATTTGGTATGTTTCATTCATTGGAATATTTCTTACTTATTTTCTACATGTTTCAAAACCTGTGAGGAATGCAGGATTTGATAAGCATTTTGGAGGCAGGAAAAATCCAAATTGTTTATTCTTTGAGAGTTACGACTACCTTCTGATGTGGAAAAATTGCCATTGGAAAATTTGACATTTGATTCTCCCTGATGTGGTTAAAAACTGAATAAAAGGTGTTAATAGAACTTTTTTCTTTTGATATGTGATCACAAAATAATTCTAAAACCTACTGTTTTTACCATTGAAATTTAAATTGTGAGATAGGTTTTAAATGTCTAGAATGCAATTAATAGGCTTTTCTTGAACTGTTAGATTCTTTTGAAGTAGAGTTTTTTCATGTTTCATTTGTATTTGTTTAAAAAAAAAAAAGAAGAAAAATCCCCCCAACCAAATAACAACCAGAGCAAAAACTGTTGTGCCTTCTATTTATCTTTGGTTCCAATCTTGGCAGTTGTTTAAAGAAAAATAATAATAAAAAAAAATTAGATTTGTTTTATTAGGTTCAGAGTATGTGGGGAATTGTGGAGTTCCTCTTTTCATCACCTTGTATGTCTTTTGTTAATATTTGTTATGCCTTATTCTAAAACTGAGTCTCAAACTGGAATGCCTTGGAGGACAGATACTTTTGTAGAGGTCGTTTGACCTAAATAGTTAAGCATTTGTATTAAGTTTTATTTTGATATCTAATCAGATTCTTAATCATAGCCCATAAGAAGGAATGCAACTTTAATATTGGACTTTGCTGATGTGTTTAGTGTCTGCAATTTTTTTTCTTTAAATCATAGCCATATGGTAAATTTTCTATTTTGTTATGGTTCTCTTTTATTGATGGGCATGCAGTGGGTGTTTCTTGGAAATGGCCAATTTTTATTAAAATATTTCTGGAAGAAAATTTAATCTGGCAATATAGACTAATAATACTCATTTTATATAGTATGTTATCTGTTGAGTGCTGTGTGTGAGGTGGGTGAAGGTTTTGTTTACATGTGTGAGACAAGCCTTTATATTGGTAACTTGTTATAATTAGGGCAACCAGGTTAGTCAAATTTAGTTTATTTACTCTTAACAGTGTTCATGCTTAGGACTTTTCATTTGAGGATAACATAGAAATAGCAGTTTTGTTTCACCATTGCTGAGAAATTGTAGATTTTTTTGTGAACAGGTTAGTTAAGACTGAAGTGATGTTATCAATTTAGTCTCCATACCTCAGCTATTTGAAAATTGCCATCATCTCCTTCACATAAAGAAATTTATGTAACCGAGTTACGTGCCTGTTTTGTGGATCATTTTAAGTAACTCTTTGATAATCACTTTATTTGGCCCAGATTAGTGATAATTGGAAAGAAATCAACTTGCAAATTCATAGCTTATATTAAGCTTTTGATTAAAAAAAAAGCTTTAAATTGGCAGTAACTTCAAGGTCATAAATTAAAGATAGCTTAGAAATTACTTTTTATAATTGAGTACAAAGTTGTGCATTTAAAAAAACAAGTTCCTATTAATTGGAAGTTTAAGGGCACTAACTTGATATAGTTATTTCTTGAGTTAGTGCTGTTAGTACATCCTGGAGAGCATTTGGAAATGTGAGATTTGGAAGGGTTGTGGGGGGCAATAACATACATTGGGTGGGGACCAAGGATACCAAATGTTTTGCAAAAGTAAAGCAATCCCATTGAGAACACTAATGGTCCCTACTCCTGTGGGTAAGTGGAACAGTGGGATTAGGGAAACTAGTGAAGGAAGTGAAATTCAGCCTCAGATAAATAATTAGGAAATGTAAATCTCTCTGAGGAATTAGAATAGCATCTGTTTTAAGTAATTAATAATTCCTATTTTTTGTACGGCCACGTGCATTTTGTGTGTGTGTGTGTGTGTGTGTGTAAATGAATGTTTAAATGGGGAGAGGTATAGCAATATGTGCTATATGGCTGCTTATAATGTTGCAAGGAATTGTTGCATAATCTCAGAAAACAAAAGTTGTTTCCTAAATAATTTCAAGTCATCAGAATTGGGATGGATGTGGGGTTTTGAATGGCATTGGATCTAAGAAATAGGATTTAGCATCATAGTTGACACTGTTAAGAATCCCAATACCATTATTTACATTATTGCTTACAGAATAAACATGAGAGCATAAAGATGCATGTATTGACACTGCTGGAAAGTTGAAGTGAAATACGTTGCTCTAAGATTTCTGTAGGCAGCAGCAGCTTATTACATAAAACTTTCAGATTTTAACGTACAAATTTTTATTTGTAGGAATAGCCCAATTCATAATACTTTGCTAATGAGCTTGAGATTTTTGACCCATAAATATTTTAACTGGGTGAATTTAATTTGGTTTGGTGTGTTTTGGTCTTTTAAGACCTGCTTGTTGAATATACATCTTGGGGGCTGGGGCTATAGCTCAGTGGTAGAGCACCTGCCTTGCATGTGTGAGGCATTGGGTTCAATCCTCAGCACCACATAAAAATAAATAAATACATTGTGTCCATCTACAACTAATAAATAAATAAATGGATAAATAATATGTAGATCTTGGCTTTTTAAAAATATTTTTATTTCTTAGTGAGATTGTATTCCTGTGTTCTTAAGTCTTTTGAGCTATTGTTAGGGAGTAGTGAAAAGGATAATCCAAAAATAATTATCTGATTGTGGATGACTGGATTACTACCACAGCATTAGTTTAATTGCACTTCAGTTTTAAGTTAGAAAACTTAATTCTCACATCTACTCTGTAGATTACATGGTGTTATCCTCAATAAAACAGATGGAAGAAATGGCATTAGAACAGGTAAATTATGAGGCCTTAAAAGTCATCTGTGTAGCAAGGAGCAGAATGACTTTCAAAATTGTTTTTTTCTGTAGAATCATGTTTACTTATTTATATTTGAATGGCATATTTAGTGAATAGGATTTCTATAATAAAATTACTACTATATGGAGACCTCAGTCTGAAATATATTCAGAACAAGTTTATCATTACTGTTCACTTACTTTAATGCAAATCAAATCATTGAACTTGGATTTAGGTCTTCTTTTGATATTTGCAGATTGTATAGTAACATAAAATAGTAAACTTGTTCTTAATTTTTTTTTTTTTTAAACTGGTGATTGAACACAGGGGCGCTTTACCACTGAGCTACATTCCCTGCCTTCTTATTTTTTTATTTGGAGCAGGTTCTTATTAAGTGGCTGAGGCTGGCCTTGAACTTGCATTTCTCCTGCCTCAGCCTCCTCACTTGCTAGGATTTTAGGCATGTACCATCATGCCTGACTGTTTCTGCATTTTTAAAAAATCTATTTGGATAATTCATTTGATATAAATTTGAAATCTGAATGTAGATGATCACAATATTTTTACTATAATTCAAGTGAGTTTATAATTGTTTTATACATACAATTGCCATTCTTGACACTTTTTTTCAGCCCTTTTTTGAAGACCCTTCTAGAATTTAGTGATTTAGTGGAAAATGTTGCACTTTATAGAAAGCGGTTAGTCTCAGTATGGAAATAATCTTTCCATGAAGTTTAGATTTGTAGGCAATGATTTATGCTGAATGACTTATTTGTTTTAAGTAAATGGTTGCTTTTGTCAAATCTACTGATCTGAAGATGTCGTTTCCGTTTTATTTTTGTGCTATTTAAAAGAATCTGCAGAACTGCATACAGATGAGATAATTTCTGACTTTAGTTCAACAATTTTTAACCTTGTAAAAGAAGGAATGTGGGGATTTTAGCTAACTTCTTATATACCAAAAGTAGTCAACAGGCAGTTGGAGACAGCCTTCCACAGTGCTTTAAAAACTGGGCAATGTCCTGTGTGGAATGGGGGAGCAGATGAAGGTTGCTGGTTCAATGATAGCCGTATGGCACTACAGACAGTGAAATAAGGAGTTCTGGTCTTAAAGTAATGCCATTTGGGGTTTATATTTGTTCACTTGATGTTGAGGTTCTAGGGACCACAGGTAGGCTTGTGAACTCTATAGTAAGGGAAAAATGGTGACACACTTGATAAAACTTTAATTCTGTACATTCTTAGTAGATATGTTTTTAGCTCAGAATAATAAATTAGACTGTCTTGCTCATGTTTTCATGTCACTGTCTGAAAGCATGACCTGAATGAGTGAAAAGTTGATTAGAAGTCACCTTTAACCAATTTTGGTTTTGATTATGTTTATGGCTTAAAATCAAGATTATATTCAATTCTGTTTATATTTTTTGAAAACTTTGTGGATAGTCTTTCTACTCCCTGGCTTCCAACTTGAGCCTGGTAGCTTTTTCTTTTTATTCCACTGTTAATTCTGTAAGTGTGATGTGGTTGGTTATAGTAATAACAGAAATGTTTAATACTTTGAAATATGGCCAGTCACAGGTTTGCAAGGGATGGGTGGTACAGCATGTGTTAGGATTTTTTTTTTTTTAAAGCAAGTTTAAAGTATTTATCAATTCATTTTGAAATACTTTAGCAAGTATTTGTTTTTCAGGAATCCACTTAAGAGATGTTTGCCTATATTTTTGGTAGTAATTAGAGGGAAGATTGTATCAATCTGGGCAGAAACAATTTCAACTGTTGCTGCAATTAAAGCCATTTTGGTTGCTGGTATTTACCATGCTTTGATATTACCTGTTCTACTTTGGATTTGTTCACATTTTAAAATTTTGTTGTGAAGATTGTGTATGCACTGAATGAAGACACCATGAAGCTGGCATAGGAAAGAAGAGGGTGGGCTTGCTTGCTCTTGCTCGTTCTCTTTCTCTTTACAGTTGGGTGCACATTTAACTAGAGTAGCTTGTAGGACATGTTTTAAAAATAAATTCATGTATAAGTAGATGTTAGAGATATTGAAGGGAGGGTTGAACTAAAGTAGCCTTTAGCTAATGGAATAGGAATTATTTGTGATTTATATGGAACAACATTTTTAAGTGAGGAAAAATCAGAATATTATCTTGGTTTTTCTCTCCCCCCCCCCCCCCCAGTTCTGAATCTCTCCAACAGGAAAGACTTAAGACTTCTGTAGTTTTTCAATCATAGAAAAACATTGTTAGTGCTGGAAAGGCTTAATACATGATTTTTCCAACTCCTCCATTTTACAGATGATACAGATGGCTCAGAGGATTGGTCAGTACGGTTCCTAATATGCTTGTAGAAGAAATATGGAGAATCTTCAGGGATCACCAGTCCAGGTTCCCTGTAGGAAGGCCAGAGCTGCTAAAGTTCAGGATGTGGGAAGAGAAGGGAAGGCACCACATTTTATTTGCTTACTCAGTTCACCCTTCAGTCTAGTTTTCATACCCAGGTTTTCTCTCTCTCTGTGTGTGTGTGTGTGTGTGTGGTGTTTTTCTTCCTTTTAGAACTGGCTTCATGCCCAGCTCTAGCAGGGTCTGTTGTCTAAGGACATTAAAAACTTTTG